TTTACCTGCGTATTTGCTGTTCAAGGAAGACATGGTCTAGACAATTTGTCTGAACAACAACAAAAAGTAAGATTAGAGTTAGATCTCTGTATACGACGCATATGGAATTGTTTTAAGCATTACTCAAGAAAATGATCGAAGATTTACTCGGAAAGATTAATAACCCAAATAAACCCTTACCGGCGCCGGAAAATTCCTTTCAAAAACTCAATCCCGTGTTTGCTCGAAAGCTCAAAACACCACTTGATGCTGGAATCGCGTGTCTGAATATCGAGAATCTCTCGATTCAACATGCAAAAGCAAAACCCTCTAGTTATGATGGGTTTGGGTCCTTTGGGATCAGGGAAACTGTTTCGCTTTCCTCTTTTTCTAAGAATTCGATGTGGGAGTTTTTAACAAAAGCAAACTTAACGTTTATGGGCTTTTCTATAATGTATAGTTAAGAAGCCCAATTGTATGTTGCTTTACTCTAAAACATTTTTAAGTATTTGAAATTGAGTGGAAGTAATGAAACTGATTGATGAATTGAGTGACGGACGAAGCAACCTTGTGGTCCTTTTATAAAAAAAATAATGCAGGATAATAATATTTTTGACTGTCAAATTCCAGATTATATATTCTTTATTTACTGGATCCAAGTTTGAACTTTGAAAATTCGAACTTCGAGAAGAGAGAAATTTACAATTTGTAGAAACGTTGTAGTAAATGGTATTTCTGTTACATATTTGACCAATTATCCATTTTTGCTCAATTTCTTCATTAAAACAAAAAAGGTAAATTAAACTGATAAGAACAGAAATATATAATTACCAACAACAAAGAAAGGGGATAAATTATGTTGATAATTCTGTTTTTGTATATCACCTTTGCAATAAGCCAATAGGTCGTGTCGTCAGTCAATGAAAAATCGAAATAATATGCACTAATTAATTACAAAAGCGTGAACAAAGTGGACGGATCAGAGCCCGTCTGGTTCACATTCCATACTGCCACAACCGGTTAGGAACAAATCTGAAGCTGAAGTTGGAAGTTAGATTCGGAGCTTGAAGCCTCGAGACAGTATTCACTTAACTTGAAGCAAGCCCGAAAATGAAGCGAGTCATTTCCATTTTTCCTGCAACTGCATCATCACAAACAGAGAGAGCGGAAGAAGAAGAAGGTGAATGTTTATACAAAGTTACTGTAGTTATACAAGTCTAAAAACCTCGAAATCAATGCGACTTCAAACATCACTTCAAAACTTTCAATAACCCTCACTCTTCTAGACCAAAAACAGAATGTTTCTTCCTTCACAACACAAATCAAGTAACATTGAAAATGACAACTTTTTCCCCAAACGAGTTGATACATAAGAAAGTACTTTTATTGGAAACTCTCCAATTCAGGGAAAAACTATATAGATACATCTCTAAGACACCAAATGTAACCACATCACATAATAGTCTAACCAAGCAATCTTCAAGGAAATCCATGTTAGAGGTGAATTTACACTCACGAAGGTACGCAAGAAAGAGTATTTGAATACACTAGTCTGAACTCGAATGACAAAGAGTATTGAATCACTAGTTTTATACCTCAATCTGTGGAAAAAGCTCCTTCGACGCCACAATCTAGTTTCAGTCGAAGTCAATTCAACAAGATTAACTTCACATCATCCTCAACCAATCCTACAAGATTCAGCAAAAACCCCAATTCATAGGAATTTCAAAAAGATAACAAGAAGAAGAATCCAATCTGATCCATCAAAATGTTATAATACCTTTCAAGCATGATCTGAGACTTTGTAAGCGTCTGAAGAAACATTACCCATCCACAAACCTGGAA